TCACTAATAGGGACTTTTGGTGGTGAACTTGGATTTTGAGACTATTTGGTATTCAGTACGCTGTCTGACGTCTCTAGTCTCAAAAATAAGTCACTAATTTGTCAGCTGGCTAAGAGCAGGTCACAAAAATAGAAGTATGGAGGAAAAGCTTATTTCTTTCCATTTTATTAAAAAAAAAACGCGAAAATGAAGCGAGGAAATTTGTTCAACAAGAATTTCATTAGGAAATAAACCAAAATGTTTTAATATCATACAAATGTATTGAAAAAAATTTAATTTTTTTGTTTTTAAAACATTAAAATCTAAGGATTGTTAAAAAAATAAAACTAATAAAAAATACTAAATAAAAAATCCTCTACGGCCGAGGAGGACTTGAACCCGGACCCTCTCGGCTGCCAGCCTTATGACCACTTTGACCACTCGGCCATTGCGACTCTTTGAGCGGCGCGGCCAAAAGGCATACATAAACACTATCAGTTGATTGTCTGTGTTTGCTTTCACCACACATTTTTGGTGAACTTTTTGTGACTCTCTCCTTCTGAATATCCCAATCGTCTCAAGTCACAAAAATAGTCACTAATTGCTAATCTCAAATTTAGTGACTTGAGATGAGACTGAATTACTGAATCCCAGGGTAAATGGTAGGCACATACAGTATATATTACATACATACCTTGGATTTTCATATTGTATATTGGCAATAATAAGGGTATATGTTGATCCTTACGAATCAGGTATATTTACATGTTTGCGTTCGCCGTTAAACGAACGCACCGGTGAAATATTCGTGTAAACAAGGTTGCTAAATTGTTTGGAGATACCAATTTTCTATTTTTCGCAAATAACTATTATTGTCGCGGAACCTACCAAAATCCAATCTAGCCTACTAACCAACCAAATGAAAAAAAAACCTACCTGTTTTGGTATAAAAAGCCCATGTTTGGCAACACTAGTGGCGAACAATAACGAGTTAACGATCTTGCTTGCGCATGTGGTCGTAAATAAGAGAGCAGAGAGCTGCTACTAAGCTCAGTCGGCAGCAAACCGTCATATAAAAAGGTTGTGTTGCGCTTGATGGTTCTTTTTTCCAAGCAAATTTCCAACGAAAAATTATCTGCGCAAAAATAACCCCTCCCTTTGAAAATCTGACAATGCAAAAGTGAATTACAAAACAGCTAATCTGCTCGCATGCAAGTCGGCACCAGCGTTCGGTCTTCACTGCGATTGCAATACATCTACTGCTTCTCTTTAGCGAGAATGTTCTACTGCGGTTTTTTCAAATCTTTTTTTTTCCACCACTTGAATTACTACAATTTTTATAAATATAAATTTTTCAACGGAAAATATATTTATAATCAGTAAAAGGTGTTTCTGCAACATAACATTTAGTTATTTATGTATATACGTATTTGTATGCAAACTATATCTTGTTATTAGTATAAAATCTAAAATCTACTACGATAAAATTCGTTTTGCTGCGTTTTATTTTTAAATTCTCTGCGGTTTACGAACTTCTTCGTCCGAACCTTGGTCGGTACACATTTGGATTCACGATGCAGCGAAACAAAGGTGGCGCCTTCCGCGGAGCGCTAGTCCTCTCTTTCTCGATTTGACACCATCCACCCTTTCGCTGACGTAACATTATTATTTTTTCGCACTAGTGATGAATACTAAATTTTTATATTGTACCTAAAAGTAGATACACGTACCTAAACAGTAAACATGCATTTTTATGTGCATACATTTTTGGTAGTTGGTGGATTACATCTTCCTTTCGTACCATAACAATTTTTCTACTTACATGAAACAATATTTTACTACGTTCCAAATGTACCTAAAATAATGTGCTTGTACCGAATGTACGTTCAAATTTAAGAAGCTGAAGAGTAGGTACAATTCAACCTAGCTTTACATCACTATTTCGCACCACTTGTTCGCTTCTTCCTCTTCTTCTTCAAAATTATTCTTTGCACTCTCATTCTCAAAATAATGTGACGTCACACCCAGTTGCTCTCAGCTCGATTGGCGCAATCTTGTATTCTATCTTTCTTGATTTGCATCTGCGTGTGTGGCCGGAATGAGAGAGCAAGTATGCGTGAGCACTGGGAATGTTAATCCCGGGATCCCGGCCTTTTTAAGTTCTCGAAAATTCTTGGCAAGTAATCCCGGGATTTTCAAGATTTGTAATTTGCACTGATGGCGATAATAGAAACTCCTTTTCTTGACCAGTATTGGCTATATTTCTTTTTTTATTTAATAATTAATATTTTTTATAAATGTCTAGCTCATTAGACATATAACACCGCGCGACAGTAAATTTTAAACACAAATATCAATATATTCGCGAAACCATGGGCAAAATATAGTAAAATTGCGTTTTTAGTTTTTCACTCTGACGTCAGTAATTTAAAAATGATTTAAAAAATTCAGAGAAATGTGCTTAGAGAAGAAGTATGGATATAAAATTAATGCGGAAATCCTGTAGAATTTAAACAGATTCAAGTTTCTGGTGCAGAAGGGCCGGTAAATATTGAAAATGTCATTTTAAAATTTTATCCTTGAAATTTCGCAATATTTGAATGGTCACCGCGAATAACGCTGTAGCGCTAATTTACTCAAAACTAGTTTTTTCGCCGGGAGTGCAATGGGGTATAGTCGTTGTGCTGGGTATGCAGTTACAGTCGCACGGCTATACTCAATCCCGACTCTTGCGTCCTCGTTCGCGCACTCTGGGCAACGTGAGCAACCCATGCGCAAGATGCGGTAACCAACCCGAGTGGAGCCTTGGGCCACGGCAGAAAGAGAGGGAGCTTTGGTGGGGCCACTCCGACTTATTCGGTTTAAGGGCTCACTGAAGTCTGCAGCGTCTGCTCACCAGGAGGTGCGGCTGCAAGCGGGCGTCTGTCTTGGAGCAAGCGGCCCGCTATACAAATGTGTATCCGGTTGAATACCATCCACCCCAGCAATGGTTGTGCGCTGGGTTTGGGACCCGCCACGTAAAAAATATTGCCAATGAAAAGACCAAAAAAGCCTCGGATAACTGCATCCCCACACGTTGACGACCCCCGCAAACGGAACAAGGACTATGAATTTCGGATATGCACCTGGAATGTCCGGACCCTCTATAGGGAAGGTGCCTCTATCCAACTGCTGGATGTACTAACAAAATACCAGGCTGACATCACCGCAGTTCAGGAAATGCGATGGACGGGGCATGGCTGCAAAAAATTTGCAGCATGCGACATCTACTACAGCTGCCATGAGACGGCGCACAAATTTGGTGTCGGATTTGTGGTTGGGCGGAGACTTCGACACCTTGTCTCCCGGTTCACGCCCATCAGTGAGCGAATCGCCACAATCCGCATAAAGGCGAAATTTAACAACATCAGCCTAATTTGTTTGCACGCCCCGACGGAAGAGAAGGACGACGAGACTAAGGAGCTTTTCTATGAGCGTCTAGGAGAAGCGTATGAGCGCTGCCCCCGTCACGATATTAAAATCGTTCTGGGCGACTTTAACGCCAGGGTGGGCAAAGAAGGCATATTTGGTCCAACAGTCGGAAATTGCAGTTTTCATGACAACACCTCCGACAACGGAGAGAGGCTGATCGACTTCGCCGCGGCACGGAACATGGTAGTCAGTAGTACCAGACACCAGCATCGAAAGATCCACAAAGCAACTTGGGTGTCCCCCGATCAAAGAACAAAGAACCAAATTGATCATGTTGTGATAGATGGAAGATACGCTTCGAGCGTTCTTGACGTGCGCTCTATCCGAGGTGCCAACATCGACTCGGATCACTACCTTGTTGCAGCTAAGGTCCGCATGCGCCTCTGTGCAATAAAAAACGTGCGGCAGGCAACGCGACGAAAGTTCGACATCGCAAAGCTGCAGTCACAATGGACAGCCGAAAAATTAGCAACCGACTCTCAATCCTGCTTAATCAAGCAACTCCTCATCGCCTGGACATAAATGAGCAGTGGGACTCCATATCCCAATCCCTTCGCACCGCTTCGGAAGAGGTTGTTGGTTACTACAAACCGCGCAGAAACAACTGGTACGACGAAGAGTGCCGCGCGGCTGCTGCAGAAAAATACGTAGCATACAAAGCTACCCTTCAGCCAATGGCGACACGCGCGACAATTGAGCGTTACCGGGAGAAAAGGAGGGAAGAGAGACGCCTTTTCAAGAGAAAGAAAAGAGAGGCAGAAAGGCGTGAGTGCAAAGAGCTTGAGATGCTGGCAGACAGGAACGCGGCTCGAAAATTCTATCAGAAAATAAGGCAGCAATCAAATGGTTTTAAGACCGGGGCTAGCTCCTGCAAAGATGAAGATGGAAACCTGGTAACAGATGTCCATAGTACACTTGAGATATGGAGGGAACACTTTTCATTGCTTTTAAATGGCGAAACAGATGGCGCGTTTGATGAAGGAGAACCCGAACCAATGTATAGGGACGAAGCTCACGTCCCTCAACTGGACCAAGACGAAGTGAGGACAGCAATAAAGCGGCTTAAGAACAACAAAGCCCCCGGAGCCGACGG